CTGGGTACAGCTTCTCCTGTGAGCTCTGCCCTCCTCCTCCTCTCCCTCCTCCTCTGCCCGCCTCATCTTTACAGCAGTGCCAAGCCCCCTGGTCTCCAGAGAGGGTACTGTACCCCACAGTAGGAAGGAGCACCATCTGGCCATGCTGGTCGAGGTGTGGATCTTTTTGAATTTATATTTATATACAGTCCTGTTTCTTATGTCCGCACTATCTCTTCCTCCTCCCTCTCAGGTGACAGTATCAGCTAGTGCCATACAGAGTTGTGTGTTCACCAGCATCTTGGGACAGTGTGGGCTTTGAATTGATCATGGCAGAGTAGAGGGATATTTTCTGGAGCTGCTCCTGAGCACCCTCCCCATTGCGGCAGCCCTTCCCCACCCTCACCCAGCTCACCGCCTCATAAAACCAAGCAAACGAAGGCACTTCCCGTAGAGACTGGAGTCCTGCTTTCAGTCATGCTGTGACCTTGGCTTTGACGGGTCTGGCCAGAGGGGTGTTGGAGCCCAGCCCACCCACAGACCAGACAAGCCCCTAGGGAGCCGAAAAAGAGCAGGAAGAAGTTAAAATGTTTAATTTTTTAAATTGACTTTTGTAGTTACTAAAGTTGCTTGTTTCCGCAGTGATATTGTATAAAGAACATCTTGTAAAATACTTGTCATCTTGCTTTGGCACATGTACAGTACAGTTTCTATGATATGTGTTCGCTTATTCCCCTCCGCAGAGAGGCCAGCGGGCAGCGGGATCTGGGTTGGAGCCCTCTCTCTGTCCTGATGGCACTCTACTTTCCTGTGGGCGCTTGCTCCTCCAGAGCCCATCTGCAGACCTAGTGCTCCTTCCAAATCTCCTCAGTGGACGGTAGTTGGTGTCAGCTACAGGAGCAGCTGGGGAGGGCCAGCTCTGCCCTTCGTAGCCTGTCTAGCCTCGTGTTGTATTTAGGCAAAAGTTTGTAGTCTGCTTCCCCTTTTATGACAGGTTTTGATAAAAGTACAAGACAGGGTTTAACTTTCTTTTCTATCGATTTTGAATTTGAAAAATGTGAGCCCCTCAGCTCTCCTTATTTAAAGGAAGGAAAGGAAGCCCACCGTATCAGGAGGCTCACAACTCTTGGGGCTAATGGAAGGCCTGGCTGTGACTTCTGTGTGTAGCACAGTCCAGTAGCTGAAGAAGGTTTCCCTCCCCTCTTCTGTAGGCTTGGTTGGGGTTAGCACTAACATTGATGCCGTGATCCTGGCACCACTGCCTCCCTGCTTCTAACGTGTTTTAGCAGAAAGCTGGTATTTCCACTGCAGTGACATCTGCATGGTGGCTTTTTAAATTGTCTTAAAGGAGGAAGGGCCGCGGTTAAGGGTAGACTTGTAATAAATTGGATTTCAAATAAACATTATGTACTTGTGTTTATAAAGAAGAGACAGCTCTGACGACTTCATTTTCTCTTGGGGGCAGTGGTGGGCAACACAGCCCCGGGAGCCGGGTCACTCCAGTCATGAACAGTGCACTGAATTGGCTTGCACTTGGCTCTTGCAGCTCCTTGTTTTAGTTGTGCTTCATTTTTTTTAAAGTCAGTGGATTTGAGTGGTTTCTTGCTGGGCAGCAGCAGCAGCTTGCCTATGGAATTGAATGGTTTTTGCTGGGCCTTTGTCACCCTAAGGAAGCAGTCAATCAGGAAGGGAATCAGAGAGACACGGGTCTGCCTACAGATGTTACTGACTTGCACCAGCCTGGCCTGCACTGAGCACAAGGAAGAAAACAGCCTCCTTAGACACTGCTGTTACCTCACCAGTTCAGCTCACCCACTCTGAGAAAGAGCTGTGCTCAGTGTCCTTAAGTGTCACTCGGCCCTACATCTACAAAGTCCTGTTCCTCAAATGGATATCCCAGGTACATGTGTGTGGAGCCATGCCGTCCTCCAGCGATGATCCTGGTCCTATTCCGCATCCTCCACCCATTCCCTCCAAGTCCTTTCTTGCCACATTGGCACCTAAGTAGCTACTGAAAGCCATGTCTGTACAGATGCTGAGCAAAGATGACAAGTTAAAGCTGGCCCAGGAAATTTAGACCTTTTTCAGAAAGTGACAGTGGCATAGCACCTACCTTGATCATACACCCCGCTTCATCCCACCCCCATGAGAGGCTATGGCCTGCTCCAAACATGCCCTGCCATAGGACAGGGAAAACAGGTCTAGGCACCTAAAACTCCAGGCAGTATTTCATGCTCTGCCTCCCCTCCCACGTTCTGACCAATGAGAAGTCTTGAGATGTGCCCTTCACTGCCCATCCTTGCTTCTTCTCATCTTCCCTCCTGGTTTCTCTAGGAACCAGCAGTCTTGTTTCTTTTGCACAGGTGGCCAAGTTCTAACCTTCCTTACCCACAGACTGGCATGGGCAGAGAGGTGCCCTGGTTGCCCATTAACTGCTTCCTTCAATGCAACCCCCTGCCTTTCCCTTTCCAGGTATCCAGCTGCCAAAATCCTACTACAGGTCCATTAGTAAGTCCTGAGGAACCACTACCTTCTCATTCCCAACGTGGGCTATCAAAGCTCTTATGCAGGATCCCTTGCATGAGATACAAGGCAAAGTCAAAGATGCGGGATGAATGAATGGTCTTTACACATGCAATAAATCATAAAGAATCTACTAGGGAAGCCTGAGGATGTGACTCAGTGGTAGACCACCTGTCTAGTGTGCTTCAGATCCTGGGTTCATCCCCAGCAAAACTAAGTGTTGTGTGCCACAGTTCAGTTTGCATACACATGCTGCTCCCAAGGATAACTGCATGTAATTGAGGTGTCTTGTGTTTCTTACTTCCACTTCAGCCAACAAGATAACAGAAAGACACGAAGAAAGGGCTGAGGTTTAATAAGACAATTTCTAAAACCTTCCTTACTTAGGTAGGTCTGGTGATGTGTGCCTTTAGTCCCAGCATTCAGGAAGCAAAGGCAGGCAGGCAGCCTAGACAACATAGTTCCAGGACAGCTAGAGCTATGTAGAGGGACAAACTTTGAGGGGGGCTGCCTATGTATAGAATATATCCAAGCACAGTGATCAAGACCTTTGTCTGGGGACTAGGAAGATGGCACAGTGGGCACATGTCATGCAAGCATAAGGACCTCATGTCAAATCCCCAGCACCTACAGAAAAAGCTGGGTATAGTTCAGTGAACCGGTAAAGATTTCTGCCATTCTCTTCTGACTCATGTACACACACAAGTCACAACTCTCTCTCTCATACACACCTGGCTGACATCAACAGCCTAGATAGGTGTGTGTGGATGACCACAGGGGACAGGGTTGGGGCATGACCCAGTAGCCTGAGCTTCCTTAGTAGACAGGTATGCATGGTGCTTTCTCAGCACAGCTGTGCATATCCCTGAGTGTGGACCTTTATTCTCACAGCTGCTGTCAGCACCCCAAATCTTCCCACACATTCTGGAGCCAGAGGCACAGCTCTCACTGACCTCAAGTAGCTTCTTACCCCCAAGATGCATGCATAGTCAAGCCCCATCTTTTCCCTCCATCCAAAAACAGGAGATAGCTTGGGGCTAGCCTGATTGGGTTTTTGTTGTTTTGTTGCTATTACTGAAGAGTTTTGTTGATGTTAATGCTGGTTTTTTGTTTGTTTGTTTGTTTGTTTTTTGTTTTTTTTGTAAGACAAGGCAAAACAATTCTTTAAAAAATATATTTATGGGGAGTCAGAAGTTTGGGGGAGTTGGTTGTCTCCTACCAAGGGGGTTCAAGGAATTGAACACAAATTAGGCTTGGTGGCAAGCAACTTTACCTGCTGAGCCATCTGGCCTGCCCCTTCCCTTTTTATTTTTTTCCTTCCATAGAGTCTCATGTAGCTGGGGGATGGCCTTGAATTCTTGATCTTCCTGCCTCTGCCTCCCAAGTATTGATGCTCAGCCATGCCTCTTTTAAGGCATGCTGGAGACGGAACCCGGGACTTCATGCATGCTAGGTGAGTACTCTATCAACTTAGTTACATCCTCAGCTCCCAGCACAGCCATCCTCTGGACTCAGTAGAGGGGATGACTTGGAAACAGTCTAACTCCCTGACTTTCTTTTTAAAAGACATCACATTTCTTTATTTGTGTGTTAGAAGGGAGTTGTGCCACAGTGCATATGTGTAAGTGTAAGTTCCTTCTTCCACCATGTGAGTTCCAGGGATTGAACTCATGTCCTCACCCTTGGCGGCAAGCACCTTCACCCACAAAGCTATCTTGACAGCCCTGACCCCTTATTTTTTAAAGCAAAGTGTGAAAAAGCAGCTTACCTGTTTCCCCAAACAGGCTAGATGACACTTCTAGAGCTACAGAGGTTCCTGGGTGCTCATGAAGGTGTCCTTGTCCACTTCAGTGGCATGGGTCTCAATCTTGAGACAGGTGGGAGGAGCGCACACACACACACACACACACACACACACACACACACACACACCCACACACACACACAAATCTTGAGACAGGTGGGAGGAGCACACACACACACACACACACACAACACACACACACACACGGAGTCTAGGGCTCCTATAATACAGATACCCATGGCTCCCTCCTCTCCTTCACAGGGAGGGAGCCAGAAAACCGGTCAGGGGATGAGCCTCATGGCCTCTCACCCCAGCTCTGTTTATGTAGCTTCTCTCGCTTCCGTCTTGTCTTCCCTCCTTCCAGCCCAGATAGGACACAACAGTGCCACATGAGGGTTTATTCCAGTCACAGCTTCCAGAGAAATGCCACAATAAATTACATCATTAAATAAACTCCGCACTGGACCCTGCCCTTTTCTGCCTCTTCTTATCCTAAGACCCTCTGGGGCCACAACTAGGCCAGCTCCCTGCAAGAACAAGGCTATCAGCCTTACTGGGACACCCCCCTAGTCCTTAGCCCCCTGTATCTCACTTGCCTGACTTTGACAGCTGGGCAGCTGTTACTCAGCTGTCTCTGAGGGGGGAGGGGAGGGCAAGGAGGGAGCAGCCATAGCCCATAGCCAAGCCTATGTCTCTAGAGGTGTGTGGGGTTCTCCAGAGAGGGATCTGTCTTACTCATGTGCAAGACCACCGTGGGGCCCTTGTAGTGGCAGTGGGTACCACGGCCATAGCCCCCTGGGGCCCGGCAGGCCTTGGCCCGGGCTCGGCCAGCTGCCATTTTTCGGTAGCACAGGCTCTGCCATGTCTGGAAAGTCTTGGAACTCCAAACCCAGACTCCACTGGTGATGCCCACCACTAAGGACATGAAGATTTTGAGCATGAAGACAGCCACAGTGGGCACCGAGCCCCCTGGCAGCGAGCAGTCTCTTCGGCCTCCAGGCACAGTGGCCGCAGTGCATGCTTGCTCAGTGGCCCGAAGGCGCCAGAAGTCCATGTTGAGGCGCTCGTAAACATAGCAGACAATGACGCAGGTGGCCGGCACGGTGTAAAGGATAGAGAAGACTCCGATCTTGACCATCAACTTCTCCAGCTTCTCTGTGTTGGTGCCACCTGTTTTCATGATTTTGCGGATATGGAAGAGAGCCACAAAACCGGTCAAGAGGAAACTGGTGCCGAGTACCAGGTAGCAAGAGAGGGGTACCAACACAAAGCCAGTGAGGGCTGCGGGGTCCATGCTGGCTACATAGCAGAGCCCAGTCAGCTCATCTCCGGCCACCTTGCGCAGCGTCAGGACTACGATGGTCTTGAGAGCTGGCAGGCCCCAAGCTGCCATGTGGAAGTAGCTGCCATGGGCCTCAATGGCCTCATGGCCCCATTTTTTGCCTGCAGCCAGGAACCAGGTGAGAGTCAAAACCACCCACCAAAGTGAGCTGGCCATACCGAAGTAATAGAGCAACAGAAAGACCAGGGTGCAGCCTGTGTTTTCCAGGCCCTCCTGGATCACATACAGGGCCCCCGCCTCCTGGTCACAGGCCACACTCTGTGCACCTGCCACCGCTCGGATCAGGAAAGCCAAGGAGTAGACGTTGTAGCACATGGAAAGAAAGATAATGGGGCGCTCGGGGTACTGGAATCGGTGAGGCTCCAGCAGAAAGGTGAAGACGGTGAAAGCTGTGGAGAAGAAACACAACGCAGACCATACGGCCATCCAGACGAGCGCGAAGTCCTTGTCGCGCCGAGACCAGAACACCTCGACGCCCGGCCCGCAGCGCGGAGCGCACGAGCGACTCTTCTCCACGTACTGGAACTTCTCGGGGTTGTCACAGGTGCCACCGCTGCCGGGACCTGGAGCTGAATCTCCCGGTGGTCTCGCAGGCCGAGGTGCCACAGGTAACATGCCCAGGCCCTTATGGGGTTCTGTGGGGCCTGCGGTAGCGTTCTCGGGTGCCTCCATGCAGAGCGCGTGCGGGTCGTTGC